AGAGAGAGAGAGAGAGAGAGAGAGAGAGAGAGAGAGAAACGTATCTGATTTTGGAGACAAGGGCATGGAGAACAGCAAAGAGCTAAACCCCAGATCTAAGTCCAGATTTAGGTTCACAGACTGCGCCAAACGACTGCGACTAAAATGATTTAAGAAGGCAACTCCGCCACTCACTGAATGTCTTACAAAAAGGCAATGTAAAACTGAGTATGTTAATCTAGTCAAACATACGTTTCGAACGATTTTTCAATAAGACCTCAAAAACTCTTCTATGTTGTAGAAGAAAACAAATATGATGGAGAGCGCTGGGGGGAAGGGTAGGGGCAAAGTGAACAGCGTGCCTATAAAGCATCTAGAAATCTAAAAATCGGATTATGCGAGTCACCCGAGCCAATACAATGGGCATTTTTATACGAAACACGGCCAGGATTGAAGACTCTCTTTGTTTGTTATCCGGTTAAGACATTCATCGGAAACATATTCCAGTAAAATATATAATACCCCGAAATTTTGCGGTTTGAAGTATAGACTTTAAGATATGAAACCAACGCAGAATTGGAAAAAAATATCTTCGTAAAACGTACAGGGTTCGGATGTTTATTAGATCTATGATAAAAAGTAGAACATCGGCAAGTAATGATCAAGAATCTTTAGGTTAGAAACCTCGGAAAACGAGTACGGTAGGGGAGCAAGTATACCGGAAGCTAGAAAAATATGCTTACATTATCCAACAGTTTCTGCGACAGTTTATTCACGATCCGGCGAAAATCTTCGGCGAAGGCTTCATAGTCCAGCTCAGGGCAGCGCTCTTCAGCAATGTACTTCGGCAGGAGAAAACGCCGGTTTGATCGCGCTGAATCGTACTCTTCGTCAAAGACATCGCATACCCGAAATGGCGGCCCACGCTCTAGTATGAACTGGTGAAATCGCATGCTGGAGAGAATTCGATCAAAGAACTCATTCGGCTCTCGTATGCCGCGCAGAACCAGAAAGAGGGACTAGTTAAAAAGAAACAAGAATGGGAGAGGAGTGCTAATATGGTAATTTCTGTAGTGTGAACCGAACGAGCAAGAAGGAGATATGCTAATAGAATCAAACCTGATTAAAGTGGATAACCGGTTGAGGATGAATTCGTGTGATTGTCAAACAAGACCTATAACCGGCAAAGAGGGAGCCAAAGAGACGCAAAAAGACAGCACGGAGTTGTTTGTCCGCGTGGACGGACGAGAGCGACTGATCTGGAGGCGGTCGTGGGGGGTAGACATGATCTGATGTGAGCAGATCAGGACTGAGGATCTGAAAAGCAATTACAATATATGAAAGAAAATTACGAGTGTGCGCAAACTTACCGAAGAAAAAGCAGATATGAAAAACTACATGTTTTGATGGAAGCAATGTGTTAATCACTTAAGCAGAAGTCTTTAAGTTTACTCCTAGTGCCTAAATGCAGTGATAAGCAGGAAGTTAAAGGCCTAATGATGGATAATAATTGGAAGAACGAAGATGCACGCTTGCTACAGGGCGTAAGTGTGCAAAGGAGTCGCAGGTTCAGCAAGATATAGAAGTGACTAGGTCCGATATTGACTCCATTTCGGGATGAGAAAAATTTGCTTGACTAATTCGCGCAACGCCTTGCAACGGAAACCATTTCGATAGGACCGTAAAAGGGGGTATGAACAAGGAATAAACACAAAGCGAAACGAACAGCTTTCACATGAAAGATACATACAGTCGATCGTATATCTGACGAAATGTGAAGATCAAAATTTGAGTGGGTGATTTAACACACATTTGAGGTTGTTTATTTTGTTCAGTGAGTGGACTTGAGGTGCAAAATGCTGTTTACTAGAAAAGAGTTCGGTTCAGATCAGTAAACTGGGGGCAAAATGGGGCCAATTCCAACGTTTGTTGATATCCAAGGAATTTCATTTGCTATTAGACGCCGCCGAAAAAACTCACTGTTTTTGCGTGTTGTACTATGAAAGAACATAAATAAAAAGCTGCAACTTTTTAATTATATACGTTCAGAGAACAGACAATTTTGTTTTGCGTTCATAAAAATTGAAGTTAGTGTAATCATTAGATAGCGCAATATTTTTGAAAAAAGAGCGAAATAAGTTTCAAAATACTGTTTTTCAAAGCTGCCATGCTTTGTGCCATAAAACTGAGTAATAAAATTATAAGGCTATTATTTTGTATGCCCCACCGAAAATAACGACCATACACAAGCATATAAATACAAACACCCAATACATGCCGTCAAGCCGTATGCAAAATATGTCCGAACACTTTTTATCTATAGAGCAGAATTAATGAATAGAAAAACTTGTAACTGAACGGGCAGAAGATTATTAGTTTTCTTAAAGCGTCGTTCATATTCTGCCACTCTGCTCTGCTTTTGTTATCTTAGAACTGAGTCTAGAAGAAAATAAATATACTCAAAACTGATCCGGTATACATTAAAAAGTAAGTTCTTTCATTT